GTTCACATAGACATAGACTTCACAGTTCCAGCTTAGATTTGTATTAATTACCATCATAAATTTCAATTGGCTAATGGACATTCTATTGTTAGGTTAATTGATTGATTAACTCGCAGTGTTGAGGTTCATTTATTCTAGAAATGAGTTCGTATGTTTAATTCGATGAGTTGTGGCGACTAAACTGGATTGGATTGGATTAAGTACCTTTGCGGTTTTTTTTTAACTGTATTATAATGACACTAATAATTGTTAGGTAAATAATTAATTTCTATTGAAAATATTAATTTACACAAAGAACTACCTTGAATAGTTGCAGAAGGTGAATGAACTGAATCTGCATTTGCGAACCTACATTCTGCCCTTCAGACAGCTCCTATAGGAACTGCTAGGTATTCTTACGCAATCAGTTATAAAATCGATATATATTGATAGGTAATGTAAAATGTATGTGACGTATAGTAGTAGTAGTGTCTATTTGTCCATCTGTTTTTGCAAAATATGATTGGAGCATGTAGTTTGAAGTCGATATTTATAGATTTCTAGTAAACGCTTATCATAGGTCGACTGAACATTAAAACGCAATGACAAGCTGGCTTATTATTTGTCTCCATCTCTATCCATCATAAATGTACATATTTAATAAGTTATATATATAAATAAGTTGTGTGATTAATAAATCAATAGATTAATATATCGATATTTATCGACCATATATAAACAAGTTTGAAATTGAAACTTACATTAAATCTATCTGTCGTATATGCTTATAATAGAAATACATGCGTAAAATGATTATTTCATCTATATTTGATATAGATATTGAATAATCGATGACTATCGATATACATGTTAACACAGATTATCATCAATTACCCTTTAAAATTAATTCTATTACTTCAATCAATAACTTATTGTTATAAACATACATTATAGATATAGCCAGATTAAGAGACCTCCATAAGAAAATGTTCGATATTTATCTACTTTTTAGTGTATTATATGGTATTTGGCTAAAGTGCAGCTTAACTAAACTTAAAAAGAGACTAGCAGTTAAGCCATTATTATTGCCTATCAATTTCGCCTTGTCCTGTCTTGTCTCGCTGCTCATCAGCACAAATTGAAAATGCGCAAAGCGAAAATTTTCTTTTACATTATTGATGGGGGAGTACTGCGGAAAAAGGAGCTTGAAGCTGAAAGTCCGCCAGCCGCTTTATAGAATTAACAATTAATTTAATGGAACTTAAAGCGTTTAGAGCCGACTTAGAGCAGAAGAGTTGGCAACAAATTTAAGGATAACTCAAAATTTTGAAGGTGGGCCATTTCATGCCTTCGCTGCGGCTCATCGCACTTGCCGTTTGCCATTTCTGCTCCAAATGTGAGCTGACCCAATTGAGAAGGGACGCATTGCCATTGCCCCTGGGGGCTCGTATCTGTGCCTGGGTCGGTGCCCCACGTGCTGAGTACAGCTGCAGCCGTTGCCCAACCGCAGCCGTCGCAGAGCTTTAACAGAATTGGCTTTATTTAACATTAGCTAATTTGTGTTCCGTTATACCCACTCTCTCTCTCTCTCTCTCTCTCTCTCTCTCTCTCTTGCTTTAATGCATATATATGTATAAATTTCTTCTAATTTCCAGCAGCGAGAATGCGCATCCAAAGCAGACTTAAGTGCTGCTGCCGTCCAGTTGCAACATTCTTGCTGCTGCTTGTTGGCAGTTAGTTTAGCTGTTGCTGTGGTTGTTGTGGTTGTCTTGACACTGATTTCAATTATAAATTGTTTTTC